TCAACTTCAGCCGGTTTTCTTCGGTCCGAAACCTCAGACTCGCCAGTTTGGTGAAAGTGGGCAACTCGTCCCTTCCTCCTGAAGACTCTTTCACAGTGCAGTTTCCTCGGCTCCTCTGCTCGGCCCTCGCGGTAGGGACGATATGAACATGATGAATTTCGGTCACTATAGCAACAAGAGAGTCCGAATAGATGAGTAAACGTGGTGGCGGTGTGATTCTTCTTAGTGCTTCTCATTTGGGCTCGTCGTTTGGACGAAGTTGCGCTGAGGCAGGCAGACGAACTCAGAATTGCCCTCGAGTTTGGCCCACGGTTGCACGTGGTGATCAGAGGATGGAAGTAAAGATGTGCTGTCTTTTCTTTTGTCTGGAAATCGGCGTCATTCGATTTGGGCTTTCTAGACAAGTCTCCATCCGCAGTGCTGCCCAGGCATCGGCCTGAATGAGAAAAATAGAAGAGAAATTCAGGAGGGCTTTAAGTGTCCTCAGAATCTGGCGAGGAGAATAATATAACCATTTTTGTCTTGGGAGTATCAGATTTATACTCATGCCTCGAGACTGGTTGGAAAAGTCTCTCGAAACTGCCAAGAATAAGGTTTTTCAGTATGCATTCTAGTCATCCTAAATCACAAATTTTACCACAATCATATTAATAGCCATCATGGTGCCGGTGAATTTCACTTTGCTGTGCCCCAAAAAGCTATTCTCTTCGCGACCGGACCGGTCTTATCGGCCATGCCCAACGAGACCCGAATGCGGACACTGTAACCCATAATTTCGACATATTGCTACAATTATATGAGATGTGTACATTTTATTTCCTTTAACTGGCGGTTGATTCTTTCCACAATGATATGAGTAAAGCTGATGCTTCTATCAAATTTCCCAAAAGATGTTCCCATTCGGGCTGAAGTGGACTGCAGTTTCGACCTTGCCTATATCTTGTCAACACCTCCGGTGGGAGTCGAACCGTCAGCTATACTCACAGCATTGTGGGAAAATTCTACTACGCCTCCTTATTGTTGGCGCGACTTTCGTTTTGTATGGAAGTGCATGAAGAAGATATTCGTTGGTCAATCTCACCAGATGAGTACTGCAGCCGTTTGGCTTTTATATGATGCTCAGGTTGACGCAGTCCACGAGACTTCCTCCCTCGTTTCGGGTGAAAACGGGCAGAGCCTTCGTCCATCAACTGATGGGTCGCATTCCGGTACAAGTCTCACGTTAACACTAGGCCAAGAACACTATCCGTCCTCATCTGGTGAGATCGGCAAACGAATCTTATCTTCATGCATTTTCATACGAAATGAAAGTCCTTCCCTTGACGAAAATTCAAACATCTCTCTTCTAAAATACTTGCAGAGTAGGCTTCCATGCTTAAAGTTGACATTTTGTTACGGACTACTAGCCGTATGTTAAGTAGTGCGATCGATTTATTAGGAAAATACAAAATCTACTATAAATAAGAGTTGAGAGAGACTTTGTATGACCTGGACGTCACACTTGTCGTCTGACTCATTGAAACCTGTTGTCAAGGGGAGGTGTAATAACGTGTTGTCGCCAATACCCCGAGGCTGGTTAGATTTCCGTTTTTAGGTGTGTTGATGAGACCCAGACGTGGTCGAAACTACAGTCCAACCCAACTGGAATGAGGAGGCCTTTTAGATAGCAAGCATGATTGAAACTCATCGGCATTGAAAGGTCTACTCAGTTCTTCCTTGGAAATTGCCTATCGGTCTTTAAATCACCAAGGCGACCCTGGATGAGCACAGTTCTCACTGAAGGAAGTTGATCGTAGTTTCAAATAAACATCTTAATACCTGATCAAGAGAGCTGTCAGTTGAAATAGATAAATCTGGGCGGAACCGAAGCAAACGTCTCTTAGTGATGACAGTAGTTGAAATAAAACTTGTGAAATCTGATGAGGTGAATTAATTTACTGTGTTCTAAAACTATCCTAAGACCTCTAAAAATTACTTAAGTAAGCCTAATTCACTAAAAAATTGAATAGGCATCATGATGCCATTTAATTTCAAACTCGAGTGGACAGTACTTTTGAACTCACCTGGGTCTAATAACCACTCAAGTGTGAATGGAAACAGGCTCGAGCCAGGTATTTCATTGAAGCATAAAGCAGGTGCAGATTTCAAGAAAAGCGAATTCACATTTAGACTAGAGTGTATATTTGGCGAAAAATCGAATTAGGCTACTATATAAATATAAAGTAGTTTTTAGCAAAGAAATTATCGTTATTTTCGTATATAATTAGAGTTTCGAGACTAGCAGTAAATCAGTAATATGAGATGTATTCACCCAATTTCGTTTAAGGTGATGAACGACTGGTAATACAATTTTCCCAAAATGATGTGAATAGATGATATAAATATTCTCATCAAAGGTGGACTGCAGTTTATCCTTAATACTCATGACAAGCACTCCGGCAACACCTAACAACTTGAAGGTGCAGGGTCAACCTTATCTAAACTGCGCTACACCACGACTGACCTTTTCACTAGGTTTTGTTGTGTAATAGTAAATGGTCTGTTTTTGCTCTCTTCTGAATATCGGTTGCAAGAACAGCCATGAAGAGGTACTAATTTCGTCTGGTTTCACGAGGGATCTGGGTGTTTTTATGCCAGAATGTTGCAGAATGCCGAGAATATGAGAGGAAAACTTCGGTTTAGAGGGATCTCTTGATTGACACTTGCTGAGATTACTTCCATTTGGGGTAGAACATTTTGGTGAAGCGATTGGTAGGTCGATCCTACCAGAAGACGACGGTGGATTCCTCTTGAATGGCCGTCGATTGGCTTTATTGATGCATTCTTTTTGGCGCTGTTTTACATGAAATCTCCTTTAATCCCGGTGAAAATGTACTAGACTTTTGTCCGCCGTACGATTGACATCATCAGATCAGTAAGAGTATCATTCTTTCCACCATTTTCAAAGAGAATGCCTCGGAAACAGCGTCAACAAGAGTGTGGCAGCAAAGCCAATCGACAACTGGTCAAGAGTAATCTGTCGTAGTCTCCTGGTCGGATCCACCTTGGAACATCTTCATCAAGCACTTTT